CCCCAAAACCCCAAAACCCCAAAACCCCAAAACCCCATTTTTCAATTTTAATTGAATTATTGGTATAAAAATGTTCAATACTTGTGTAAGCTATTGAGTCTCAAGAGGAGTTAAAATGATTCCATTTCTCAAATCATTTGTCATAAAATACTACCGGTTATATAGAGAGTAAGAATAAAGGATAAAAACTTGCAAGAATCTATTCAGATCGGAGGATTGAAGCCTAAATATCATCCAACACTTTGCTCTCAGAGGTATCATGGTAAGGCACCTTCAATATTCTGGGGTTGATTGTCTAGGTACCTCTCAAAACGACTACTACATTTCAAAAGATTTAGAGTTAGAAAATTCAAAGAAGGAGCAAGAGAACGGCAAAATAGTTGTTCCCAAAATAGGTAAAATATCTTAAAGTTATTAACATTTGAAGGATACTTTATAGGATTTTATCTTCAGTACATGTAGGACAACTTTTCTACTCTCTCAATTAGTGGTTATCTAAAATCTGGAAAACAATGAACTATAGATTTGACTTTTAACGGTTCTCAAACAGCCAGGGGTGAATATTCCCACTCCTCTTTGAAGACAATTTTCAAGAACAAGTCGATTATCAGCAGACCTATTATGTGTAATTTTTCAAGCGCTTTGTCAAAAATTGATCTAAAAGGAAAATCCAATTAAAGGAACCTCTCGTAACAAGCCATGTGAGTTCAAGTTCCCTGGGAGCCCTCCCAAAAGAGTAATTATTTGCTCCTGATTTAGCCAAATAGAATCAGAGTGGAAGACCGGTGAATTTCCTTGAATTAAAATTCAACAAAATAGTGAAAGCTAGTACAAAATAAGCGGAAGAAAGTCAGATGTGCATCCAGCACTCATGCTCAGAGTGAGTCCATTCTCTCATGTCTAGCCAAATAAACAGTATAAGCACTTTAGGAAATCAACTAGCCGAAAGAAGAAAAAATTTGAGACTATTACTTTAGGTAGTCTTCTAACTGGAGTTCAGTAATTTTGTACTTTAACTGATAGAACAACTAGAACTAAGCCACAGAATTATCAGAAATCCTTTATTTCACAAGTGAGAAGTTCCATGGATGTGAAGGAAGTGATCAGATTGCCTTCTAGGAGGATTCGCATTTCAAAATTTAAGCATTCTCATCCTCCAAAGTGCAATCAGTTTTGTCCAAATATCTCTAAACCTCCTAGTTCCGTATCAAAGCGCTTGAAAATTCAGATTTCAAATAACCTCATTCAAACACAAGCATTCCCAAAATAACACTCTTTACATTTTAATTCAAGTCTTAAAATAGTTCACTCATCCAGTATTTGTACCCTATTTATACTCATTTTCAACCTGAGATCTTTCTAAAGGGGTTTTGGGGTTTTGGGGTTTTGGGGTTTTGGGGTTTTGGGG